CTAGGAATCCTACTACAACACAATTATTTACATGAGTAGTATTGTATTATAGCTCAAATACCTTATCCTAGTCGACTCCTACAATAAACAGTAGCTTAGTTGTACATAACTTAGGATTTAGTAGTTTAGTCCTAGTATGACTCTAACTCTAACTCGTCAGCCTGCTTCGATGGACCTGTTCCTTCGACATGTTCCATCAGTCTTCAAGCTTCCTTCAACAAGGTAATGATTTCTTATAACAACCTAGTGCTTATGAATCCTTCAGTCATGAAATTTTAGGAGGATAAAATTGAGATTTTAGACTCAAACAGGAACTAGAAAAATATCGATTTAACTTGATAATTCAAATCAAAACAAGATTTTGATTACTGAATGAGATTCCATAGCTTATAGATAAGATATTAATGCAATTAGTTTTGATGACATTTGATTCAAGGGACATATTTGAGTTGACCATGATTTTGATCCCGAGGCGTTTTAAAATTGTGATTTTTAAAGATTAATTTGGACCCATTATTAATGATTTTAAATAGTTTGCAGTCGTTGAAAATTGTTTGAGGAAATTCGTTTATTCTATAATAAAGTTTGACTACTGAATTTTAAACTCTTAATTTTCTTACTTTTCCTAAAAGCATTATAGATATGACTATCATATGAATTTAAATTATTTAGTTCATATGAGTTATGAGTGATTGAGTATGAATTATGTTTTCAAGTTTAAATGTATTTATATTCGACCGCAAGGATTTCAACATGTGTTTTTACACTAGTTGATAATTCTAATAGATTTCTTTGAATATTATAATATTGCTTAGCTTATTAATATCTATATTTCGTAATAAGTATCAAATAATTATATTTAAATGTTTTTATTGTTTAACATATATTGTCACATCTTATTGAACGTGCATAGCCTGAGCATAATGTTGCTATAGAGCTTGATAGTGGATATAGATGGCATCAGATAAAATGTGATCTTGATACATTGCACTAGATAGGTCAGACATGCACCTATGCA